GCTCAGGCAGCCCCGGCAAACCTTCGGACTTCTCCGACTCCGAGGACCAGGGAGAGGAGGAGGAGGAGGAGGAAGAGGAGGAGGAAGAGGGGGTGGAGGAAATCACCGTGTCCTAGACGCCCCTCTGCAAGGCAGTCCCGCCATAGAAGCGTCACTCCTGGCAAGGGCCTCAGCCCCTCGGTGTCCCAAAGAAACACTTCCTCGTCCCACGCCACTCCCCACCAGCCGTCTGCGCAGCTTCCCAGGGCCCCGTTCTCATCGGCTCCTGCTGTGTAAACGCTGCCTGAGGCGATCTTCGCCCTCCCAGCTGCTGGACCGGCACCCGGTAGGGTAGGAAGTCTTCCGGAGGAGGAAGCTGAATTAGGAGTGAAAGCACCAAGCACAACCAACTCCAAGACCCCTGACTTCCTAGATCCTCTCCTTCCCAAGTGTCAGCCAGCCCCGCTCCCCTGGAAAGCACAAACGTTGCAAAAAAGAGTAAGCCCGTGCCTTTGCCCTTCCGGTCTAAAGGAAATGCAAATATGGAATCTGTTTTTCAACATGCTCTCTGGCCGCAACAAGTGAGTCCTCTGATTAGGAGGAAGAGTCCCTCTTCATTTCTGTTGTGTGCGTTTTTATTTTTGTTTTTGAAAGACAGGGTCTCAGTACGTACTCCAGGCTGGTCTTGAACTCACGACATGGCCCAAGCTGGCTTCGAGCACATGGCAATCCTGCCTTGGTCTCCTGAGTGCTGGGATCTCAGGTGTGTACCATCCTGCCTGGCTGTTGTGTGTGTTTAAAGCTTTTTCTTTTTAATTTCTACATGCATAGTATATGCACCAAGCACTCTATCTTGTGGCCTTTTATTCTTTTGGGGGGAAGTGTCCCTGAGTTTCAAAGCTAGCAGTGGATAGGATATGAACAAAGAGCAACTCATGAACCTCTTTGATTTTTTAAAACTGAATTCTGCTGTCTTTGCACAGCTTTTATGAACTGTACACTATTTTGTACATATGTTTTGTATGGATATTTTATACCAAGGTTATTGTGGATGAATATAAAGGATTGGCTAGATTTTTCTCTCCTCTCTCTTTTTGTAATTTTTTTAACTTTGAAAAGGTAGCTGTTTAATTGAATAACTTATAAAGAAATATTTTGTATTTTTACCATGTACAGATTTTTATATATGTATATATGTATCCAAATGAACACAGGCCAAATAAAAAGTAGAGTGAATACCACGGTCATGAGTTCATAGAAGGTAAGAACAGAAAGAAATGGAGCTCGTCTTGTCCCAGTACTGCGTTTCATAAAAGGTAAACTGAGGGTCAAGAAAGGGAAGCTTGTTCAAAGCTACCTCATTGGTGGGTAGCCAGGCCGGAGTACACCTTATCTCTGGCCCTCAGGAAAGTGTCTTTTCTGCTTTGCTGTCTCATAAAATAACTATATTTACTATGTGATAAGTCAAATATCACCCACAAAGTGGTACATAGCAAAAGCGCAGTTTGCAGTTACCCTCCCTTCCTCTAAGACTGAAAGCATGGGCTAAAAAGCAATCAATGCAGGTCAGTGTAGTGGCTCAAGATGGCTGTGGCTTTCCATTATTCCTTTGAAGACACATTTCCTACTCTTCAGGAGACTTCAAAACTGATGGAGTCTTCCTTCATCATTTTCATATGACCAGTTTTTTTTCCCCCTTGGGTATCGGAAATCGAACTCAGGACCTTGCACTTGTCAGGCAGGTGCAGTGCCACTGACCTACATCTCTGGTGTGTATGACCAGGTTTCATCACAGTGTCACCTACAGTCATCACACGGGAGCCCAGATACAAACTCTGGTATCTGCAGGTGGAAGGAAAGCTCTTTAAAGACTACTTTATTCATCAGGAAGGATTTATGCAACCAGCAGTCGCAGGAGTAGAGAACTCAGGTTAGAATCTTGGTGAGGGCTTTTCTATTCTTTGAGCTTGGTCTTTGCCACCTCAGCCACACAAACTCATGCTTCTTTGTGATCCTCACACCCAAGAGTAAGAAAAAAAAGTTTTCAAGCTTGAATTTAGATGATAGTATGAATTATGGTGGAGATGTGAGTGTATTCTACCAAAATGATTCCTCTTTCATTAAAAAAAAAAAAATCCTACGCTTACTAGTTCCTCCTGGTGAAAATGCTTGTTGGCTATAATCAGAAATACTGCCGACATTATTATTTGGCCCATGTACTCTTTTTTTTTTTTTTTTTTTTGGTACTGGGGATTGAACTCTGGTCCTGCTTTCGAGGCAGGTGGTAACACCATAGAGCTAAATCTCTGGCCCTGGCCCATGTATTCTTAACTGTTTCTTTGGCTTTGTCTCCTCCAGACTTGAAACTACCAAGATGACAATGCTTGGCCTTTAGATAGACCCTCTGTAGAGTAACTCTGACTGCTGATCACAACTACAACCCTCTTCAGCCTGAAATAGCCATAGCTGTGTTTGCCCTTTGTCCCCTCATAGCAGTTAGGGGTACTTCTTTAGAGGGAACATTGCAGATGGGTAAGTTAATCAGAGCTCTGGTAGCCAGTTAAACAGGGCTGGGCTTCGCATAACCAATATAGAGGACAATCAAGACATATTCACTGAAGGCCAGCAGTGACTGATATTCTAAAAAGGTATCAGTCACCTGGCTGGGGGACCAAGATCTTCCAAGAAAGATCCCTGAACCACCCTTTACCAAAAAGCCTTGCTCATTCGTTTCAAACTTGTTATGTGACTTGTCTCCCCATTGGATCCCCATTTAATCACTATTACCTAAGCAACATACTTGTCATAACCTTATTGGTTGTTCATAGTTTTGTCCACCTTTGTGATTTCCCATTGGGTCAATATTACCTAACTGACTGTACTTGAAATCTTATTAGTTGACTATAGTTTTGTCCCACTTTGAACCCTAACTCGTGGCTTTGTCCCATAAAATGCCTTTGGGAAGCAGGGTAAAGCAGGCAACCCACTTTCTGGTCTCCCTTCTGTCTCTCTCAGACAGAAGCCTTCTTTCTCTCAGTAAATTTTTCCCACTCTTTAAAAAAACAAAAACAAAAACAAAAAAACCTCCTCCATGGGGAAAGCCTCTGTGAGGTTTATATGTGATTCTGAGAAGCTGGAAGAGTGACTTCTTTTCTCACTGTTCTCACGGTGATATTTCCCTAACATATGGTGAACATTCAACTGAAGTTCACGCCCTCTGGCAGACAGGGACCTCGGGGCTCTGAGTCACCCAGCCTGTTTTCGGCTTCCCTGTGCCTATGCCTGGGTATCCAGAGATAGAGCTGACCTAACCCTCACCCTCCTACTACCTCTCGTTCAGCTATTTTCAGGCACGGGTATGGGATGGTGTCAACATCCAGAGTCCAAGGACAGGGGAGACACCCCCATGTTCCTGGCAGCAACCCAAATGTCCATTGGTGGATGGGTGGGTAACAGAGGCAGTGCTTTCTCACCATGGTATATTATTCAACATTCAAAAAGGAGGAGATTCAGTCATGTAGATTTCCTCGTGGGCATTATGCCAAGTCTTTGCCCTACAAAAAGACACCTACTGTATGATTGCACTATGCAAGGTACCGAAGCGGCCAAACTCCAAAAAGAAAGCAGAATTATGGTTTCCCCCATGACTGGCAGAGAAGTGCCATTCAACGGCTGTAGAGTGACAGTTTTGTAAGATGAGAAATTTCTCCAGCTCTATTGCACAGCAGTATGAGTATAGTTAAAACTACTCCACTGTATACTTTAAAATGGTCACAATGGTAAGTGTTGTATATTTTTATACCACACTAAATTATTTTTAAATTATTATCATAATTTTTTTGTGGTACCAGAGATCAAACTCAGGTCCTTGCACTTGCCAGGCAGGTGTGGTGCCACTGAGCCACATCACTGGCCCTATTTTTTAATTTTAGAAAGCAAATTGGAAAACTAACTCACATAAAAATCAAGTAATAGTCATAGTTGTGTCCAGTGAACAATATAATTGTAAGATAATGCAGAATCCAAGCAAGGAGGATTATAGGATGTAAAGTATTTTAGGAAATTTAAGGAAATCCAGAAAAGGAAAATACTCTGAAGAGCTCTTTAAAGTGTAACCTATTCCTACGTATTCACAAAAAGTGAACCTATCCATGACTATTTAAGACCTTTCTCCTAACTCTCTTGCCCTCTTCCATGTGGTCTAAACTAGCAATCCTCAAATTTTGGTGTGAAAATCCTTTTACACTCTTAGATGTCACTAAAGGCTTAACCATTTTTTGCTTTTGTGGGATTTTAAAATATCAATGTTTACTATATGAAAACTAAGAAAAAAACATTTTAAGTATTCATTTAAAACAACAATCCACTGTATGTCAATAAAATACCATATTAAAAATAAGTGAAAGAGTTGGGGATTTAGCTCAGTGGTTCTGCCACCTGCCTTGCAAGTTCAAGGTTCCAAGTTCCATCCCTGGTACCAAAATAAAAAAAAAAAAAATAAGAGAGAATGCAAGGAGACAAGTGTGGTAGTACACGTCTGTAATTCCAGCTACTTGGGAGGTTGAGGCAGGAGGATTTCAAGTTTGAGGATATCCTAGGCAACTTGGAGAGATCCTATCCTGTCTCAAAAGACAAAAAAGGGCTTGGGAAGTAGCTCAGTGGTCGAGCAGTTGCCTAGAAGGTGCAATGCCCTGGGTTCAGTCTCCCCTACTACCAAGAAATATGTCTTACGAAAAAAAAACAAAAACAAAAACCAAAATTAGTGAGGTGAATGTTTTACATTTCTGCAAATCTCTTTAATGACTGGCTTAGTAGGGAACAGCTGGATTCTTTTCTGCCCCTGTTCATGCAATCTATTTCAATATGAAGAAAATTTGGCTGTATATAAATATACAGTTCAAAAAGGAGTATTTGTAGAACATTTTAGATGATTGTGGCTTTTATTTTTATATAACAGTTAAACTTTTAACTGGTAGGATTTGTAAAGATTAGAGGCAATTTGCAATCTAAAAGCCAATCAATGAACTTTTCAACTCTGTTTCAGCCCCTAGGCCTGTCTTTCATCCGGAGTGGGTATTTTCCACGTGTAATTTTGTAAATTCATGTGTGGCTCCTCTGGAAACTATGGTTCACTGAG